GTGAGAGGTGTGTAGTCATGTGTAAGGAGGTGTGGTCAGAGAGTGAGAGGTGTGTAGTCATGTGTAAGGAGGTGTGGTCAGAGTGAGAGGTGTGTAGTCATGTGTAAGGAGGTGTGGTCAGAGAGTGAGAGGTGTGTAGTCATGTGTAAGGAGGTGTGGTCAGAGAGTGAGGGGTGCGGTCAGGCTCACCTGTGTGATTGGCTGTGGTCGCGGCTGCAGCAGCGGCGGTGTGCGTGTCTGCGTCTGGCTGCTGGTCTGTATGGGCGTGTGTGGGGGTGTCAGTATGGCGCTGGGGGCCATCTGTGGGAGGGGCCTCACGGGGGCCACGGCTCCACCCCCCATCTGGTCCTCAAAGAGATCTGGGAAATCCACCTGATTACTGACGAACTGCAGCATCTCTGAGTGACACACAAACATACACAGATGTGAAGATTAACGTCTGAATACGACCCATATTAATAACTCCAGCGGTGTGCTGATAAGCAGATCCTGTCAGGGTCAACAAACACACTGACCTTCAAAACAGCAGAGTTCATCACGAGCGTCACAGTCGCATAACAAACGACTGATAATCACACTCACGGACATCCTGTTTATTATTAAATAAATAAAGTTGAAAGGGGGTGGGGCTTATAAAAAGGTCAATTGCTGTCTGGCAGTGTGTAACACAGTCCTGACCCTGACCTGTGATAATGAGATGAAGGTCAGTGACTCAAGGTCAGAGCTGAGTGATAATGACTGATAACACATCCTTGTACAGACATCAGTGTGTCTGCTTGACTGGTTTATGGTGTTATTACAGTAATGACTGATACAGTCACACCTGCGGCAGATGAAACCAGTCTCCACTCGCACAGGACCCAACCAACCAGTGCTTCCAGTGGAGTAATGCCACGAGAATGACCTATTTCACCACGAAACCAAGGGAAAAACACATCTAATACATGACTCTGATAGGTCTGAATAATGAAGATGGGTTTCAGATCTACAGTCGGATCTTCAGCTCATGTCAGGGGCTTTTCTGGGATAATATGCACATTATTGCCTTATGTTTTGTGCCAAAATGAGATTTTTTCACATTACCCCCATGAGAATTCAGAGGAAATTGGTATAACAAATAACGTCAAAATGCAGAAAAAGCTCTTCCTTCCATTAGAATCAGGCGTCATTGTCAGTATGTCAGTCATGCATTGTGATTTTGTGATGAAATGTTCATGAAGCAGGAGAATCCCACACATGAAACGAATAATTCACACACGAGCGCATCAGCTCCAGCCTCTGTCTGTCTGTCTCTAGTCCTCAGGTGCTGACAGACAGAATGGCTGTGAGACACAGAGCAGATCAGCTCGTGCTCATCTAGTTCACAGAATAGCAGCACACTGACTCTATCACATGGAGCGCAATGTGAGATTCATCTGAAGAGAATCTGATCTGAGACCTGTGTGAGGAACAGTCTGACTGACTGACGGATGATCAGCATGTGTGTTTGAGCACGTGAGCGACTGACACAAGCGTTCACAACAACAACAACAACACTACTGACACCAATAACAACACTACTAAAATCACAATAACATCAATAACAGCACACATTATACTAATAACAATTATACTAACACCAATAACAGCACCAGAGCATCCAGTTTCATTGTACATGTACAATGACAATAAAGTCTTACTTACTTACTTACAATAACGTCACCATCAACAACAAATCCACTGACAGCACTAATAACAACACTAATACCAACCATGCTGTTATTATCCTACATTCCTTCATTTATTAGTAATATTCAAACGGACACATGAATTCATCATCATCATCATCACATGTGATAGAAGTGTGTCATCATGAACTAGTCCACACTAAACCTACTCTAGTTTCTCTAACTATAATACAGTCAACCTAACTATCCGAGCTGCAGCTGATTACTGAATGAATTATGAGTTAATATACATACAAATAATGTATTATATTGACAGCTGAACACATGAGAACACACACACTCACTCACTCACACACACACACACACAGACAGACAGACAGACAGACAGACAGACAGACAGACAGACAGACAGACAGACAGACAGACAGACAGACAGACAGACAGACAGACAGACAGACAGACAGACAGACAGACAGACAGACAGACAGACAGACAGACAGACAGACAGACAGACAGACAGACAGACAGACAGACAGACAGACAGACAGACAGACAGACAGACAGACAGACAGACAGACAGACAGACAGACAGACAGACAGACAGACAGACAGACAGACAGACAGACAGACAGACAGACAGACAGACAGACAGACAGACAGACAGACAGACAGACAGACAGACAGACAGACAGACAGACAGACAGACAGACAGACAGACAGACAGACAGACAGACAGACAGACAGACAGACAGACAGACAGACAGACAGACAGACAGACAGACAGACAGACAGACAGACAGACAGACAGACAGACAGACAGACAGACAGACAGACAGACAGACAGACAGACAGACAGACAGACAGACAGACAGACAGACAGACAGACAGACAGACAGACAGACAGACAGACAGACAGACAGACAGACAGACAGACAGACAGACAGACAGACAGACAGACAGACAGACAGACAGACAGACAGACAGACAGACAGACAGACAGACAGACAGACAGACAGACAGACAGACAGACAGACAGACAGACAGACAGACAGACAGACAGACAGACAGACAGACAGACAGACAGACAGACAGACAGACAGACAGACAGACAGACAGACAGACAGACAGACAGACAGACAGACAGACAGACAGACAGACAGACAGACAGACAGACAGACAGACAGACAGACAGACAGACAGACAGACAGACAGACAGACAGACAGACAGACAGACAGACAGACAGACAGACAGACAGACAGACAGACAGACAGACAGACAGACAGACAGACAGACAGACAGACAGACAGACAGACAGACAGACAGACAGACAGACAGACAGACAGACAGACAGACAGACAGACAGACAGACAGACAGACAGACAGACAGACAGACAGACAGACAGACAGACAGACAGACAGACAGACAGACAGACAGACAGACAGACAGACAGACAGACAGACAGACAGACAGACAGACAGACAGACAGACAGACAGACAGACAGACAGACAGACAGACAGACAGACAGACAGACAGACAGACAGACAGACAGACAGACAGACAGACAGACAGACAGACAGACAGACAGACAGACAGACAGACAGACAGACAGACAGACAGACAGACAGACAGACAGACAGACAGACAGACAGACAGACAGACAGACAGACAGACAGACAGACAGACAGACAGACAGACAGACAGACAGACAGACAGACAGACAGACAGACAGACAGACAGACAGACAGACAGACAGACAGACAGACAGACAGACAGACAGACAGACAGACAGACAGACAGACAGACAGACAGACAGACAGACAGACAGACAGACAGACAGACAGACAGACAGACAGACAGACAGACAGACAGACAGACAGACAGACAGACAGACAGACAGACAGACAGACAGACAGACAGACAGACAGACAGACAGACAGACAGACAGACAGACAGACAGACAGACAGACAGACAGACAGACAGACAGACAGACAGACAGACAGACAGACAGACAGACAGACAGACAGACAGACAGACAGACAGACAGACAGACAGACAGACAGACAGACAGACAGACAGACAGACAGACAGACAGACAGACAGACAGACAGACAGACAGACAGACAGACAGACAGACAGACAGACAGACAGACAGACAGACAGACAGACAGACAGACAGACAGACAGACAGACAGACAGACAGACAGACAGACAGACAGACAGACAGACAGACAGACAGACAGACAGACAGACAGACAGACAGACAGACAGACAGACAGACAGACAGACAGACAGACAGACAGACAGACAGACAGACACGCGGATCTGCAGTATTATCAGCACACAGGCAGTATATCGGTGTTGTTTATTTGTTTATGATCTTCGTCATCTTCCTCTCTCACCGTCGATGTCTCCCATCGTGAACTCATCGCCCAGTTCCGTCAGGCTCTGGTCCACGCTGTCCATGAACTCGGCGGCGTCCATCCTCGCGTTACTCGCCTCTCAGAATCACGGGCTCTCCGTGCGGCGGCTGTTCGCTCGGTTCCGGTGTGGCTCGAGCGCTTACCGACCGAACGCGTCCATCTTGCGCTCCGGCATTGACGTCATTCGCAAACAGCGCTCGGCTGGGACGCGCTCCTCTGATTGGCTCGCGCTCGGCGACGGCTGTCGTAAGATCGGGCGCTGTCGACCAATCAGATCGGCCGCTCGAGCGTGGCCTGATCGTGCGTCGATGAGCAGAGGCGCATTGCTCATTTGCATTTGCCCCGCCCCATATTAAACCCCGCCCAGGCCGCTCTGAGTGAATGGAGACCGCTAATGAATATTTAATGAGCAGGCAGCGGGTTGGTGAGCGGTTCGTTGAATATGTAAATATAACCGGAGAGTGTCTTTGTTATTGAAGTTACATCATCATCATCATCATCATCTTCATCTTCACACACTGCGGCCAAACGTGTCGCTTTATTCGCCACCTTCTACCTTCAGATTTACTATATATATTCCTGCCAAAGTTGTACTGTTATCAAATTGGCATTTTGTTGATCAGCTGTCATAAGATTAGGAAAAGTTATATAGAAACAACTAGTTTCTATTTTAAATATGCTATTGCTTGCAGGTATATTTTCATAATCTTATGACAACTAATCATAAAGCATAATGCAATTTTGATAACATGCAATGCAAACAATAAACGCCTTTCAACAGGATATGGAAGTTGACATTCGGAAGATAATTTTTATTGTTTTATTATTAATAGATTACCTATTTTATAATAATTTATACTATAACTCATATTCTATGTTGTTTTGGGTCTTATAACCCATAATGATATTAAATATAGTCCATTGTAGACTTATCAGTATCAGTATATCAGTAAATATAACATTTTGTTACCTTAAAAATGTATCAACATTTTACTAAAACAAATTATGTAAAAAAAAAAAAAAAGATTATATTTATTGATGAATATAATTATAATAAAAATATGAATTGTGTTAAATATAAAATATATAGATGTCTGAATATTCTAAAACAATATGTATTCACTTGGTTAAGTTAAACTCGGAAGCTGAATAACTATGTGTTTTCTCTGTAGTTAAATAACAAACATAAATCTCATCATAACATCACATTAAACATAATATACTTACGTCTTTAAATGATGGAATAATATCAGATGCGTGTGACTGAAGTGCTGGTATCATAAATCAAAACAAGTCTGAGATCATTCATGTGTTTATTTGTGTTCAGCGGCTTCAGAAAACAAACACACGGTGTTCAGTGAATCTCACACATCTGTTGGATGTTAGCTTGATCAGATCCGGTCTCACTGAACCAGTCCAGACCAGTCCAGCCTCAATAATCACCTACATGTCAGGATCCTCAGCAACACTCAGCAGTTCAAGTGCACAAAAAAAAGCAAATGAATTTAATAACTTTTATAATCGTTTTGAACTGACTGGTAGTGGTGGTACTGATAAATGTAGAGATTTGCTGAGTTGTGTAACATGTGATTTCACAAAGGATAGAATTGTGGTGGACCCAAGTGCTGTTGCTAAGATCTTTAAAAGGCTACATACCAAAAAGTCCAGTGGGCCGGATGGTATTTCAGCTCTTTTACTTAAGACATTTGCTGATGAATTAACTCCAGCCTGGAGTGCATTATTTCAATTATCACTCGACACTGGATTTATTCCTACAATATGGAAAAAAGCAGTCGTTATCCCTGTTCCAAAAAAACATCCAGCAGAGGAAAATAATGACTTTAGACCAGTGGCGTTAACGTCCATAGTGATGAAATCACTTGAACGTATTGTGACAGAGAAATTGAGAGAGAATGTAGTGTATAAATTAGATCCTTATCAATTTGCGTATAAAGAAAATAGGAGTACAGAAGATGCTTTGAATACTATGACACACTTTATTTTAAAACACCTTGAAAATCCTGCAGCTTATGTTAGAGTGATGTTTATGGATCTGAGTTCAGCGTTTAATACTCTACTTACAGATATTGTGTTATTTAAGTTAAAACAGATGGAAGTGAACCCTTATATAATTAAATGGTATTATGCATTTCTAACGGGACGACAACAGCAAGTGAAAATTAATTCAAATTTCTCTGATATATTGGTCACAAATGTTGGAGTTCCTCAAGGCTGCGTAAGCTCCCCCCTTCTGTTTGCATTATATATGAATGATTGCAGGAATCGGTACATAAACAACTACATTATTACATTTTCAGATGATACAGTTATACTTAGTTTGCTGATAAGCAATTCAGATGTGGGCATGTATAAATCACAGATAGAAGGGGTTGTGCAAAAAAACTAAAGAAATGATCTTTGACCCGAGGTTGGTGGGTGATCATAGTCCAATTTTAGTTAATGAGGAGGAAGTTGAGCAGGTAACAACATATAAGTATTTAGGTATCTACTATGATTCTCAGCTGCAATGGAGTCATCAAGTGGATTATGTTTGTACACGAGCTAGCCAGTGCTTGCATTTTTTGCGAAGGCTCAGGGTTTATGGGGTGGATAAAACTATCATGGTACTGCTTTACAGATCAGCTATTGAATCTATAATATGTTATGTTTTTACAATATGGTTTGGAAATTTGACTGTTAAACTTAGGTCACAACTTCAAAATGTGGTTAGAAGAGCTGGAAAAATAATTGGTATGTTGTCTCCACTTTCTCTTCAAGACATTTTTGAAAGGTCTGTTAGGAAGCAGTCTTAAAATTATTGGTGACCAAAGCCATATTCTCCATAAGGAGCATGAGCTGATGCCCTCGGGCAGGAGATATAGGGTTCCAATCTGTAAGCTGAAAAGATAAAAATTTTCTCTAATTCCATTATCTGTCAAATTATTGAATAAGTGATTGAAATTGTTGTGTGGGTGAGGGTAATGTGATGGGTAACATGTACGAACTTCTCGCGGAAGCGGAAGCGGAAGCTCAAACGTCTTCAGGGAGGGTTTGAACGCAGATTTGGCGCCACCTGCCGGACGCGTGGAGAACATCAGCGCAACAGCCTCGTGTTCACTCGCTGCAGATGACTCAAACTCACAGAATAAGATAAGCAGTGCTGTGATCTCACTGAACTAAAGCCTTCACTCACTCGTGCTCATGTCCTTCAGACCCAGAAACAACACTGACGACTTTCACTGCACTGAGACGCTTCTCAGAACATCTGTGTGTGTTTCAGTCTCAATACAAGTCACAGGACACTGGTGAATAAACAACATTAAACCATGAACAGTAGCTTCATTTATATTCAGGAGACGGTTTAATCGTGGAGTCAAAATAGGACAGAACTACCGGAATTTGATCAATTCCAGAAGCAATTCCCAAGCAGTTCAGCACAGAGCCAAAAATATTCCCATACATGTCTCCAGAAAAACCACAAGATAAATAACATTCTCCCACATGAATAACCCTTGTTTTCATGACAGATTCATTCGAACATACGTGACATAATGATGACCTATGCTCCTCTCTAGAGTTATTTTTCACTGATGTTACGTGCCATTACTGATCTCAAGCCGTTTTATTTGTGATCTTTCTGCGGTTGAAGCTCTGATTGATCGATTACGATCACCTCACTACAGCGATCTGTCACCACAATCAAAAACACATTTATTGACTGAATCTCCTCATAAAACCGCCAGGATTTGAAAGCTGAGATAAAGATGATTGGGGTCTAGAAATCAACGTTGTGCTTAGTGTTGATGCTACTGCGCATGCGCACATCAATATAGCATCATTATGTGGTTTATGGTTTAGACGTATTGTTATTTTCCGGCCGTAGCTATATTCAGCGACCAGTGTCGGGCAGTAACTAGTTACTAGTAACTTAGTTACTGTAATAATATTACTTTCTGCAGTAACTAGTAATGTAACTAATTACTAATAAGATTCCAGTAATAATATTACAGTTACCACACATTAAACAGTTACTTAGTTACTTTTGATGCCTCAACCCCGCTGATTTAAAATCCAGCAATCAAATAATTCCTAGATTTATTTCCATAATTTCCACGACTCGCACATGCATGTGATGTCCCCAGTGCAGCAGGCAAACTTGGAATATAGAAAAGCGTAGATTCAGCCGATTGAAATATTGCATTTACAGAAGAGGATTAGGGATTAGGACATTTAACGAGGATTAGTCCTTACATTTAGAGAAAAACATCGTTAAATTTAAAAAAAAAAGTCGAGATAAAATGTTGAGATTAAACTCATTAAATTTCGAGAATAAAGTCGTTATGTTTCGAGAAAAAACTCGTTAAATTGCGAGAAAAAAAGTTGAGATAAAATGTTGAGATTAAACTCATTAAATTATGAGAAAAAAAGTCGTTAAATTTCAAGAATGAAGTTATGTTTCGAGAAAAAAATAGTTAATTTCGAGAAAAAAAGTTGAGATATAGGCTAATGTTGAGAATAAACTAATTAAATTACGAGAAAAAAGTCGAAATAAAATGTTGACAATAATCTCAATAAATTACAAGAAAAAAACTCGTTAAATTTAAACAAAAAAGCCTTTATGTAACCCGTAACGCGAGTTACGTAATCAGATTACTTTTTTCAATGCTGAAGAGTGTTTCTTCTTCTGCGTTCTACTGTACAGACGTGAATTTACTTTTGCTTCAGCCTGAGGTTTATTCATTACACTTTTTGGTGTCAAAGGGCTTTTATATTTGCTATAAATAGAACTTCTTATATTAAAAGCAATCAAGCCCTGCTCATATTTAAAAAGTAACGCAAAACTAATGTAACACATTACCTTCCATAAAAAGTAACTAAGTAACGTAATTAGTTACTTTTGTAGGGAGTAACGCAACATTGTAATGCATTACTTTTAAAAGTAACTTTCCCCAACACTGCTTATAAATTGTGGCAGATACTATTTGCACCTCAGTATTGTTGTAACAGGATGCAATAATAACACTGATTTATTTAAATCATTAAATAGATGCTGCCTTATTGGGACAACAACGCCCTCCCTTCCATTTCCATTTCTCTGATGTGATATGTGATGAGAAAAGGAAGAAAAGCGCGTTTGGCAAGAGCTACT